TTCTGGATTAACATGACGGGAGCTGAGCAGGGACTATTTGATTTCTCGACTATCCTTCCTTAATTAGATTAGGCCATCACCTTCTCCATCTCTTGTTGCTTTGCCAGAGTTTTCTCCTCAGAGGGATCTTTATTGGACGGTGATTGCCTGTGTTTATTCTGTGCTCCACAAGGTCTGTGCAGCCGAGGTCATGATCGCCTTTTGAAAAGACATCTGCATAATTCGCCAAGAGATCTCTAATCTGAAGAGCCTGTGGTGATGACAAATGGACTATGCTCAGCTTATAGAGGTTAGTTAAATGTTCTGGGAGAGGATGTCCTTTCTTTATGGTTGTATTTCTTGCCTTAACATTGAGTAGCTCTACCTCCTGGTACACACTCAACAATGCCCCTTCCTTAAGTGTATGCTCACATTTAGAGAAATTAGCCACTGTTATAGGTACGACTTGATGACCTGCCACAAGTGACCTTTCAATCTTCACGTCCGCTGGCCTGAATGGGTCTTCCACTGCTTCCACAAGCATCGGGCTTCCTTGGGGATCTTTTTTTATTCTACCCCAAATTATCTTCTCTGACATAGAAGGTATTGTAGTTGACTTAAGTGCTGTGACATGCAAATCAATAGAAGCAGCAACACTTACCGGAATTTGACCTTTGTTGTCCCAAAACGTCATTTTATCAACATTAACTACACACATTCTCGGTATTAAGAAGTCCAACCCTAGTATGCATTGGTCTTCAATGTCAGCCAAGTATACTTTGTGTCTATTCTTCATACCCATGAGCGTAATAGTTACCCACACTGGTCCCCACAACCTTGCATAATGTCCTGTCACACCACAGAGCTTCTGTATGGCTTCTGGTAATCCTTTGTGATCAAGCACCTTGATACTCACAAGGGTTTGCTGAGATGCAGAATCTATGACAAAGTTGCACTTTTGGCCATCAAGCTTTCCTGTCACGTAGACACTATATGTACTTGCCATTTTACACTTAGCTGTTGGGACTTTCACGATGGGGTTAGTGGGCGTCCCTCAGCACCAACCAGTACTGGTTTCCTGAAGTTGACTTATTGGTAGCATTCCTCTTACACTGGCTCCTCATATGTCCTTGCTCTCCTCAGTTCCAACAACCTTTCATGGTAGCAGCCTTTCCTGCCATGACATCTTCCCTCTCTTGTGCACCGGTTTGTTACAGTGCCAGCAAAGTCCCTCAAACTTCTTCAAAAGCTGCCCTCTTCTGGCCTTCAATCCCGATGACTGTACCAACCTTGGTATCTCTGTGCTGGACTTAATGTAGGATTCGAATTCAAGAGCTCTGGCCATTACATCCTGCACAGTAGAGGGGTGTGCTTGCTTTACTTGTATCTTCAGTTGTGGACTGTCCAAGGTATCTACAAACTGATCTCTGAGCAACAGTTTGAGGTCATCAGGTGGCACAGTTGGGTAGGCCTTGTGTGCCATACTTTCCAAGTCCTGTGCCAGCTCTTGCAGGCTCTCCCCTTTAGCACGGACTCTAGTCCTAAACCTAGACCTGTAGACTTTGGACTGATTTTGAGTTCCATACCTGAGTTCTAGAGCAGCTACCAGTGCTCTATAGTTGTGCCAGTCTTCTGCTAACAACTGACCAAGTATTTCCAGTGGTTGTCCCTTCAAGCTCGTTGCCAGGTACACTGCTTTCTGCTCCTCTTTCCATATATTCATTTCTGCCAGGAGCTCAAATTGTGCTCTGTATGCTTCCCACGGTGCCTTCCCATCGAATTCCTGTGGCTTCCTTTATACTAGATCACCCCTATTGCTGACACTCATGTCTGGAATGTTGCTTCTGACGGGACTGAAGATGTCTGCATTAGGGTTTAGCTGCGGGGTCTGGAAAGGGCTTCCCGTTGTCTGGGGCGGATTAGGTCCATGGCTAATATATCCTCCTTGTGTAAAAGACAGTACATCATCCTTTAATGTATTTAATTCACTTTGGAATTTACTAATCTTTTCCATTTGTGTGAGCTGGTTTTCTCTCAACTGTTGGAGTCTTTCTTCCTGTTTCTTTTCTTGTTCTTCTTGTTTCATTTCTTGTTCCAGTTGCTACTGGTGCTGGTTTTCCTGCCACTGCTGTAGTCTCTCTTTTTTGTTTATTTTTTCTCCTCCAATCACAGCTGTAGTCTCTCTTCTTGTTTCTTTTCTTTCTCCTCCAACCACAGCTGTAGTCTCTCTTCTTGTTTCTTTTCTTTCTCCTCCAACCACTGATGTAGTCTCTCTTCTTGTTTATTTTCTAGTTCTTTTTGTTTCTTTTAATTTTCCTCCAACAACTGCTGTAATCTCTCTTCTTGTTTAGTTTCCTGTTCGAGCTGCCACTGTTGCAGGTTTTTCTGCCACCGCTGTAGTCTCTCTTCTTGTTTCTTTTCTCCTTCTTCTTGTTTCTTTTGCTGTTCTTGTATTGCTGCCATCAAATCTGCTAAGCTGTAATTTGATTTGCCACTTCTCGTTTCCATCTTCTTCTTCTTTTTTCTTTTTTATCCCACTTTCTGACACCAATTTGTTGGGAATCTGCTTGTTTGTTAATTTCCCATAGAAATTGTTTTCTAGAAACTTCGGTGATACAAGTCCTTTCTTAATTAAAACTAGTTTATTCTTTTATCGATACAACTTTGGAATACACAGAATTTCCACAGTCACTTTAACTTAACTACTTTTATAAACACGCTATAATTCACAGCGATTCACACACTTTACTTACGGCGCCTACTGTTCGCTTGACTCAATTTATTTCTTTTCAATCTATCTCCGGCTTATATACTAAAAAAGAGGACACCTGGAACAAATTAGGAAATTAACGATCATTCGAGAAACTCCTCGCACATGCCACCAGCGCCAATGCGCCAGCAGCGTCATGTGACTTTCGCTGTCGTAACTATACTAATAAGACGTATAAGTAAAAGCCTTTGATTGACAATTGGCGAAAATAACAATAACGTAGCTTCGGGCAATGCTATTTTCAATAGATTGGGCACATCAGAATTTGATAATTATTTAATGAACACTTTACATATTAACCAGGATTTTCTTTATCAATACTTTGATATTTATTATTAATGATAAACATTATTACAAAAACTCCGTTATCAAATTAACAACTTGTAGAAGCCTAAAGTTTTATCACCTAGTAAACTACTTATAACAGCATTTTCTACTCTACTACTAACAATGTATCGTATTCTGTTATCTAGCGAATATCTTACAAATATTTGCATTTTTATTATTTAATAATGGTTTACGTTATTTCTTTTTATACAGTAAAACTGTCAATAGATTACGATGACCTGATTAGAAAACGTTTCACAAATATATTAAGGTTTTATATGCGTAAACAATTTTATCAAATAAATATTTTTTAATAAGATTAATTGCTGTAAAATAGTTTTTTTTTTCAAAGAAGTACATTCCAATTCTTACCTTCCTAATACCTGATCTTATTGTATCTTTGTTATTCTTATAACTTTGCCTGTTTTTATTCAAAAAGCGCTTTAGCTAAACGCTTTATAAATCAAATAGCAAAATCATTAATAAAACCTTGTTCTATGTTAGCGAATAAACTCTTTGTGAAAGCTCTGTACTATGTTAACAAGTGAAGAAAACTCTGTTATGCTGTTTAGTAAACAATTAAATAACCTTGCACTGTGTTATCTAATAAACATCTTGATAAAACCTTGTGTGGTGTTATCCAGTAAATACTTTATTAAAACCTTGAACTGTGTTATCCAGTTAATGGGTTTATAAGATCTTGTATTGTGTTATTCAATCAACGTTTGAACAAAACCTTCAACTGGTTACTCAGTAAACAGCCAATACTTTGATAAAACCTTCAACTAGTTATTCAGTAAACAGCCAACGCTTTGATAAAACCTTAATCTGTGATATCCAGTAATCATTTTAACAAAACCTTGAGCTGTGTTCTTCAGTAAATATTAAAATAATTTGACTTGTTATCAAATAAAATCGAGTACTCTGTTTATCTTTGAACAATTCACCCATTTATCTAATAATTAATCTACATAACAGTACCCACTTTTCTTTACCCCAAACCTTAACCAACATAATGTTTTCGGTTATAACAAGAGTCTAAATCAGAACTTCATTCTATAGGCCAGTAAATGCCTTACTTTTATACTCTTTTACCCAAAACATTCTGTTATCTACTAAATAGGTTATTGAAGCCTAATACTAATTTGTTCATTACGAAAAACAAGATTTTTCTCTATTATGTAATAAAAGCTTTACAAATATCTTAATTTCTTTTATTTGTAAAACGTTTGACATTTTTTTTTTCAGCTTTCCATTGAAAAATATTTTCCGATATCCAGTGAAAAGGTACCAATAATTTATCATCTATTATTAAGCTACCATATTATCCATACTTATTTTGATATCCAATAAATGCTTTGTTAAAGTTTTATTAAATCTTAGCTTAGTCAATAACTCCAACTTTGTTTATTTGGGCGCAAATCTATTCACGCAAGCCTTTGCTTTGTCTACCGCTGGAATCGAATTTCTAAAAACGAAACTAGTATATATTCAAGATAATAAACAAAAAAGTTGTACAAGTATTATTTCAAACTAGAAACTTAAAAAGAGAGAAACAAAAGGTCTTCAACAATCAAATAATACAATATAGTAACCCTTCCAATAACCGAGTATATTAAAGGTCCTTATTGGTAGAGTACCTCATTTTAGCCTCTTCACTTCAGGCTGATTGAGATGCTCATTCTAGCTTCAAGTTCATTGTCTACAGCTCCTTTTCTTCAGGATGAGCAGATGCTTATTTTAGCTTCACGGTTTATAGATACGTATCTCCAGACTGAACAAGATGCTTATTCTCGGTTTATAGATATGTTTCTCAAGGCTTATCAAGACGCTCATTCTAGCTTCACGGTTGATATAAATAGATATCCCTCTCCAGGAAGAACAAGACCCCCATTCTAACTTCATGGTTTACAGATATGCCTCTCTAGACTTATCAAGATGCTCATTCTAGCTACACAATTTATAGATACTTTTCTCCAGACTGAACAAGACGTCCATATCAGTACTTCACTGTCTACAACTGCTCTTCAGGCTGTTCACGGCCGGCTGTTGCTTAGAGGTTGGCACATTCGGAAAGGTAAGTAACAGATCATTGTTGTTTGTTAAGTTATTTCTTTGTTTATAATTATTCTGTAATGATAAAAGCTATTACTTAATCATAAGACCATGATTGGTTTTGGTTTTTCTGGTAATAACAATGTATGTAACAGAAAACTTTATATTCAACCCATATAATAAGTCTACAGACGTGTATAATCTCTGCACGTTAACATTAAGTTATGTTGATCGATCAAATCTGGCGATATAGTAGCGTCTGGAGAATATATATATATATATATGTATAAAACTTACAAACTATTGATTACATTAATTGTTAATAGGAAGATGAATCAGCACTATAAAACAATAATGAATTAAATACCGCAATACCGTTATCGGTCCTGGTTATCAATTTATTGTCATAACGGATAATGTCTATGATAATAGCACCAAAATGCGTTGGGGATATCCCATCTATCAGACAAAATCCAAACGCAGATGTCAATCTAGTCAGCCGTCATGGAAAATCATAAAAAAATCGATCAAATAAGAGTACGAAACTATGTACATACACCCATAACGTTTCAGCTTCTATTGCCTTTCACCATCTATTGCCAGTTGTAGGAAAGCAGTTACCCTTACATTTCTTAAAATAGACATGAATTTTTATAAAGCCACCATAATATTTCTACTAATTAAATTCCCAACCTCCACTCTTACAAAAAGATATTAAATAGAACTATAACGTATTGAATATAACTCAATAAAACTATACGATATTAAATAGAACTATAAAGTATTGAATAGAACTAAATAAAACTATAATATATTAAATATAACTAAATAAAACTATAATATATTAAATATAACTAAATAAAACTATACGATATTAAATAGAACTATACACCCTACCTTAAAAGTTTTTATATTGTTCTAACTCGCAACCTCCTCCCTTTCTCCTGAAGATTTGTTCAAGTATATATAAACAAAAAATTGGATTCTGTTTTTGACTGATATGTTAATCTGGTGAAATTTATAATAAAACAAGTATTTGAATTAACAAATGCAAAACTCAAATATCTGTCAAAATATTTGTTAAACTTTGAGTATAAAAGTATCCATGTTAAAGACTTAATTATAGATCTAATTATATTTAGAGTAAAATGGAATAGTATACCTATACTCCCTTCAGTAAAGATAAAAGATAAATCTTATATAGTAATTGATTTTGAACATATAGTTTATGATGATTTATATTTACCTTCCTTGATCCATAAAAATATTCAAGAAGATATTTTCCCCATAAAATCGTTTTAACCGATAGTCAGTTTTAAATATAATAAATCTATAGGACTTCTTCTCTTTAGCTATAAAAAAATCATGGAAGAATTTAATCAAATTGAAGTTGAAAACTTACCTTGTAACTGTGATAAGTGTTTTTAAATATATCTTTGATAATCATATAGTTACCGGAAATTAAGAAGTTGTCAAAGTTAAAGAATTACACTCAATATAAAAGAAAGGTACTACGTATAAAATTTTAAAACGCACAAAAAATGTGAAATCTTAAAAGACTTAGAAAAAAATATTGATGATTATATTCTTAAAATAAGAGTATACAATCTTATTATCCACCATGTTTCTTTTTTGAATGGAAATTATATTTTATTAATTCCATAAAGAATCAATTAAGAACTTTAAACTTATCTCGATATAAATTAGATATTTCTTTCAATGTCTTTAAAAATAAAGTAAAAGAAATTTTAAAACAATTTGTTATCACCCCGATTGATAAAGCTGGCTGTAATTTTGGTTTTGTGTGTAAAGAATTGTGTCTGATAGATGGGATATCACTAACGCATTTGGGTGCTATTACGACAGACATTATCCTTTATGACAATAAGTTGACAACCAGGACCGATAACGCTATTGCGATATATATATATATATATATTTATACAAACATAATCTTATAGTACTTGAAAGAAACTTGATACTGTTATCTTGCAAAGATATTGAGATACCTCTTTAACGTCCAGAGCACACTGGTAAGACGTAACAGATCTATATATATATATATATATATATATATATATATATAT